GTAGGGTACACTCTAAGAAGTCGGTCGGTCTTATTTATATACGTTAAGTGTTATGTAATACCTATATGAATGGCCAGAGGGACATTCAGAAATTATGTGGTACTGGGGCCGGCAGGTGGTGTGGTGGTTAAGGGGGCAGGACTCAAAATAGCTGGCCATGGTTCAAGTCCTGGACCTGGCGGCTTGCTTTCTTGCTTTCTCTTTCTCTCTCTCTCTCTCTCTCTCTGTCCCTCTCTGGTAAAATTAAAATAAATAAATAAAGTCTTTAAAAAAATTCTGTGGTACTGGGGTCAGCAGGTGGCATGGTGATTAAGGTGCTAGACTCCTACGTGGCCAACTGGAGTTTGAGTCCTGGACCTGGCGGCTTACTTTCTCACTTTCCCTCGCTTTCTCTCTCTGGTCAAATTGAAAAAAAAAAAATTAAGGAAAAAAAGAGAAATGATGTGGCACTTGTGGGTCTTTGTTGTGTGGAACTGTCCTTTTCTTTGCAGTACATCTACTATCCTTGCAATACTCCTGGTGAACACATCCCTCTGTCCTTAGGACAACCAAAAATGCTTCCACTGAGGTGTCCACCCCTAGGGGGCGATATTGGCACCTTTAGATTTGTTTTGGGGTTGAGACTTGGGTTGGAAAAGTTTATAGACAGCTTGACTCCTTGGAGCTTAGGGTCACCATTGCTAATTATGTATTGTATAATTACTAACATAAAGTGATTTGTGCATACTAGTTATCATGTACATTTTAGCGGAAGAGGATAAAGGAGTGTGATCTGTGAAAAACTGGAGAAATATAGGAAGTATAAAGTAAAATTTTATTCTTATTTTTATTTATTTACTTTTTTTTAATGTTTTTGCCTTAGGACAAACGTGCCCACTGGAGAGAGGGAGAGAGACAGACAGACAGACACAGGCAGAGAGAGGCAAAGTGAGAAATTGCCATGCTGCAATTCCTTCTTCTCCATTCTCCTCTAGGGATTTTGGGCATGTACACACACGTGCCCGGCATGAGTTTTACACTGCTGGGCTTGTGACTTAAATTGCAGTCTACCATGTGAGAGCCCAGCATCTTAACCAACATGTTACCTGCTGGTCCATAAAATTTTATTTCTAATAAAATTTGATGTAGGTGACTAAATGGTGACATTGTGATTAAGGCGGCTGGATCTGGTGAATTCAGAAACACAATCCCAAGAGAAGAACAGAATAGAAAGGATTGCATTATGGCTATTCTGGATAGTGCTTTCTCAATTTCTCTCCCCGCCCCTCTCTGGCAAGCACACACATCCTGTAGCATATTTGATAAAAAAGGTGATGTAGGATTCTACTGATATTAAATGTAGAGTAAATCAACTTGGTTAGAAAAGATTTTATTAGTTAGAAGTTGTTTTTACCAGTGCCTGACCTGCGGTGGCATTCCATATTTATGTTTCATAAAGTAAATTGACTACTTTCCAAAAGGAGATAAAGGATTAGAAGTAAATTTATTTCCTTGCAGGAAAAATCGAGAAACCCAGAAATAAAATGCTGTAAAGATTGGGCTAGTCTTGTAGCCTCGTGGTTAAGGGAACTGATCCCACAGGACTGACTGAAGTTCTAATCTCTGCCCCAGTGGCATGAATCATGCCTGGCACGTGTGCATGTATACACAAAATCTCGACAAGGCAGAAAAATGGAGGAGATGATATTCTGGTGTTAACCACTGGGAAGTGCTTTCTTCCTCTCTGACAATTACAAATAATCCAAAACATGGGCCAGCCAGTGGCCTGGTGGTTGAGGTAGCTGGATCTCACATGCCTGACTGCGTGGTTTGAGTCCCAGACCTGGTGGCTTGAGAAACAGTGTCAGGCTTATGTGCTGTGCACCCAAAATCCCAAAAGGAGGGAGAGATGGAGGAAAAGGGATTGCAGTCTGACCATGCTCCATGAGGTGTGCTGTCCCACTACCTTTTCCTGCTGGTAAGTGCCCTTGCTCTATGGTAAATTTAAAAAAGAACAAAACATGAAGACAAGTAATGGGAAAGTTCATTGACATTTTCTTCCAGGACTTATTCTTATGCATATTTATTTTTTCTAAATTGAGATATAAATGTTATTGTCTTGCTGTGTTTATTTTAAATATTAGCATTTAGTTTTGTAGAATAGATAATATATTTTCAAATGCCACAAAATTTCTCCAAGTTATATGTGTGCTTTTCACCAAATGTTGTATTTCCTGTTATACAATACTTTTTTTAAAAAAAGAATTACTTACTTAGATAATTCCACTTGTTCTTATTTTTTCTTAATTTGACCAGAGAGATTTTTGGAAGGGAGAGAGAAAGGAAAAGAGAAAAAGAAACCCGCCAGTTCCAGGACTGGAAATGTGGTCCACCATGTCGGAATCCAGCATCCTTAACCACCACGTCACAATATTCTTTTAAAGGGTAATTCTAAATGACTGCAGTATTAATGCCTTGAACAGATGTACCATACTTTTTTTTTTTTAAAAGAATTATTTAACTTTATTCATTCATTTACTTATTTATTTTAATTTGACCAGAAAGTTACAAAATGAGAGAGCGAGAGAGAGAAAGTGAGAAAGAAGTTCCCATGCCTTGCCACCCATGGTGGTTAAGGGCCATGTGGGAGTCCAGCGCCCTTAACCACCATGCCACCTGCCGGCTCCTGTACCATACTTTTAAAAACATTTTCTTGTTGAACATTTAGGTTTCTAGGTTATTGATATTATCAATTTCTGTTTGAAATGGTTATAAGACATTTTTAAAAAGATATTATTTTATTTTACTGTATTTATTTTAACTTGATCAAATAGGTGTACAAAGAGAGAGAGAGAGAGAGAGAGAGAGAGAGAGAGAGAGAAAGCCACCAGGTCTGGGACTCGAACCATGGTCAGCCATGTGGGAGTCCAGTGCCCTCAACCACCCCACCACCTACTGGCCCCTACAATTTCTTTTTTTTTTTTTTTTTTTTTTTTGAGAGGTTTTTGCTATAGGGTGTGT